CTTATCTTCGGGAAGCGCAGGCCACATTGGCTGGAAGGACAGAGGTGCAAAACATAAGGTACGAGTGCCCCGACCTCAAGTTGCGGGGGCTGCAGGGGTGGTTTTGTTTGTTGGAGATTGGCAGAGTCTGCAGAGCCTGTACGAATCTTCAATGGGTGCTCATTGCAGCGAGAGTTTAAACTGAACCACTGTGGCATGAAGTTCTGCATGACTTGATCAGCGAAGTCAGAAAGCTGCAACGGCCTCCTGCGCCACTCGTTCCAATCCTGCTGGATTTATTGGGACAGCTGCATGTACACAATTCTTTCGTTTTTCTGTAGCATGACTGTCATTACTGAGAGAAAGAAGAGAAGGAGAGTAAGGATAGTGAGGAGGAGGAGGAGGAAGGTGCTGTTGATCCCTGTAACCCTGTAATCTCAGTACTACCGCGACTGTTACGGCCATATTGTGCCTCATGATCTTGACGAGCAAGGATGCTGCTGATGATGATTACGATGGCGGGTGATAAAGCTTGCTGATGCTTGTGACTCACTTGTGTGCGGGCGGCCTCCTTGGAGCTACACCGTGAATGCAGTATCTGAGCGCCTTGATCGGAGTTGGCTCCCTCAACGACGACCGCTGGGTGTACCATGGTGACCCGGACCCAAATCTCTGAGCACTTCTTGCTTTGCAAGTCATCCGCAAAGGTGCCCCTAGCTTATGCGGATGTTGTCCTGATGTTCAACTGTATCTGCGTATGACTGTACCGTAGGCTGGGGCCCATGATCCCGTCAGAAAGATGTCTGTTGACGCAGTTCATGTCGCTGCGTTGATATGTTTCTTTTATGTTAACATTGCCATACCCGCATCAATATTTCCAACCGCTCGGGTTCTCGACGGCTATGTTTCGCAATTGTTCCGAAGCTGTCCTCCTGCTTTGTGCCACCCTCGGCCGCCAACTTGGCTTCCCGCTCCTGGTTGCCACCGGCAAGTCAACAGCGCATCAGCTGCACGGTGCCGAATACCAACAATCACGCCGACTACTCCCTTGTGCAAGCAGGCGATCTGGTCGGCAGGACTGTAGGCACAAGTCTCACAAGTCTGCTCGTCCTTGGCTTTCGCTTCAGCTTCCATCTCTTTGGGGCTCTTTGCACCAACGTTCCTCAGACACCCACGCCCTCAAGCATTCACGGCCTGTGCGCACGTCCCAGAGCTCCTAAGGTCTTCAAATGTTCTGAGAGGTGTACCGGAAGACTCCTTCAGTCCGTGCTCCCAAGTCAATGGCCCACGCCTGCAAGCAAAAGCAATCTGTCGCTCCATGGGCAATCCACAACACCTTGGACATCCAAAGACTCGAAGGCACTGTGAAAGCAAAGATTGATCTGCAGTGATGCAGTTGCCTCCAAGCCGAAGCGTTCCACGTCCAGCTCAGGCTTGATGCCTGCCAGTGGCAGGCGCCAACGGCATTGACAGCCAACATCAGCCAACAGTGCTGGAACCTACCAGTGCCATTCACTAGTGGGTGGCTGCACTACATGGACTGATGTTTGCTGCTGCTGGTCGAGTTTGCCTTCGAGGACCCGCCTTTAAAACTCGTGAATCCAGAGTGTAGTAGGGTTTGCACTCATTGCAACGATTGTGTTGTGCCTGATGCCCAAAGCAAAGCAGCGCATGTGCACAGCGATAGAAATTGTGAGCGTGGGAGCCTACGATGCGCTGGCCGAAGGGTGCTTGCCCAAGGCGTCTGGCCTCGTCGGATCGAACAGACACGCTTGGCTCTTGGCTGCAAGATTGCTTCGAGTGCACCATGACGGCAAGTCTGCAAGAGCCGTGCCTGCTTGAGCGCCTCTTGCTTGACCCCAGCAATGCTGCCCTGCCGTCGTGTTGCCGCAGGTACAAGACTTATGGTATGGACAAGGCTAGCCCGACAAAACGTAAAAACAATTGCGACTAGAAGGATCTGCAAGGCATGCTCATTGCTTGCTGCTCCAGCCTGGACACCATGAAGATATCCAGCTTTGACGCAAGCATATGTGCTGTAGGTGTTGTCCGTCAGGTAGATGTCCAAGGCCCCGTGAAGCCCGAGGGCCTTTCAAGACTTCGCAGCGGACTGCCCCATGTGGCCGTGCTATGCCTGCGGGATGTTGGACGAGAGCACCATACCAGGTACAGCTCCACGACCTGCCAGAGCCGCCGAGCTGCAAATACGACCTCAAGCAGCCTCCGCGAGAGCCCGGCTCAGATTTCCAAAGCATGCCGAAGCCTCTCACGAAGCACAGTGATCTAGCACATCAGACACGAGACGGGGATAGACGGGGAGCCTTGCTATCTGCGAAGCGGACCGGGTTGTTGAGAGAGTAGGCAACACCACCGCCAACTAGAGAACCTTGGCCCAGCAATCTAGAATCCAAAGATGTTCAGGTAGGTGCAACGATGTCCGCATCTAGGCGGGCTAGGATCATGTGCAAGGGCGATTCCTCATGCGCTTCGCGCACTGTAGGGAACCGGCCATGCAAGGCACAGATGCCTGGAAGGGCCATCCTCAAAGTTGCAGGGAGGGTGTGCCGAAGACCCGTCATTATTACTGAGTCGCAGACTCTCGGCATCTGATGAAGGGCAAATAACCCGCATACCTCAGTTGAATGTGCTTCTAGCAAGTCCCTGCGGTGTGTGAACTAGCTTGCATGAATGCTCGGGAACGCCGCTGGTTAGCATTGATGTCGCAGTATACAGTACAATTGACTATCTGTTTTGTCTGGTGTGCCATCGTGCCATCTCCTGGCATGCATATTTCGTGGGAAGCCACAGCAACCGCAACGAGAGCGATCATCCAGAATGAGAGCAACTGAAGTATAGTGACTGTCTGAGAGATATGCTTTTGCCAAAACCCAACGTCGTTTGTTCTACACATCATTGGGCCCTCGCCTTGTACACCTGTTGACACAGAAGCCCCCGCAGTACAAGCGAACGGCGAGCAGGGCCTGCGCTTGCTATGGCCTCTTGTCACGTTGTGCTCCTCCTGTCAAAGCACCTTGCTGCAGCCGCAGCGTGCAAAAACAACCTGAGGATAGGAACCTGTTCATCAAGCAGCAAATTTCGGAAACAGTGCGGTCGGAGTGAAACCCCTTAGATTGAGATGCCATCTCCCGGCAGAGATACAGTATCGTCTTCACGAAGGTGCTGCCCAAGGTATTTTGTGTGACTGGGGCTGACGGCACCGACACCTTTCCTGCCTGATGGGGGAATACATCACAAGAACTCACTGAGCGTTCTAGGAGAGCAGGAAGGAGGGCCGGGTGATGCTGGAGAAACGTGCCAGGGAAAGACGCTCTGCTGTCTGAAGCTTTCGCCGGCAAGCAACCCCATCGCTTCCAGCAGTGCTGTCATGACTTCTCATCCTGCTGGCTCCCTCTTTCGGCCTCCTCCTCCTTAAGACACTCTTTCGGCCAGGCGGCTGATTGACTGTCAAGGGAATGTGCCCCGGGTAGAGCTTCGGATTGGGATTCCCTCCTGGACCAGGATGCTGCGACGCTCGACCCCACGACTCCGGCCAGATCCTTTCCGGATTCATAGCACTGCGGCCTGGACAGAAGTGCGGACCAGAGCCCTGGATGACGTAGGCGAGAGGCCGACCATTCAGAGCCCTGCAGCGCCAGTCGTCACAAAATCATCGTGAGTGCTTGCAGGTGCTTGCCGAGGGTGCCGCTTTGGACTCTTCATCAACTGATTGACCTGGAGATCTGCACGAAGGAGCATCTGACAGCAAGCTGCGCACATGCCGCTGCGAAGCACCATGTTCAGTGTCACACGGCATCCATGCCAAAGACGATGTCTTGAGAGGTGTCCGGGTCCATCCTGGAAAAGAGGATCACTGTGGTAAGTATTCAAGCAATGCTTGAAAGGACAGGGGTCGAGCTCTGTCAGAGCGGGGGTGCCAGATTCCTATACTCATCTGGCCAAGGCCGACTTGGAGTTCACCAGCAGATGGTCTAAGATGCTCTAAGTTTCGCCGTCGGGCAACAGGCAGGCGTGACATGTTGAAGGTGGCCACAGCATTGAGCTCCTGCCCGAAATTGAAAGGAATTCTGGACATGTCTGCTGCTCGAGGCATCGCTCCAGCAGTAGGATGGGAGGCGCGGTCTTCGTGACCAGCACCCGGTGGCGAGAGTCCTCTGGACAATCAGGACCTCAGTCTCTGAGCCATGAGGAGAAGGAGAAGGGGAACCCCTTTGTCTGATCGCAGGACTCAAACTCGCGAGATGGTCTCGGATGGGATGCTTGTTCTGGCCACCGGGGCCGCGACCATACATAACGGTGTTGAGGGGCTTCGTGGCGACGCCCATCATTAGGGCTTGCCCAGGCCCCATCGTGCTCACCTTATTGTACCTGAGAGACCACCATACTAGCGCCAACCATCAACCAGCTGTCACCAAGCAATTAAACTGCAAAGCCTGCTCGGGAGAAGAATTTGGCCCAGGAGTGCCTCAGGTAGCACAAGGCACATGTCGGTCGCTGGCATACTCCCAGGGTGACTGAGGGCTCGTCCCTCTGACGATCCTTCCCCTCGGTGTCTTGCCATGTCCTTAGTCTCGGCATTTCTGCACATGAACTGCGCCTTCCGCCGGTACGTTCTGAGAACCGGTCTCCAGCTGCTCAGCCATCGGAGCCTGCGACTTCGAGTGAAACCGAGTATCCGGAGTAAGCTCAGAACCCCAGAATTTACAGCGTCCAGGACTTGAATCTTCTTCAGGCCAGGCACCATGCTCCTACTGGCTAAGCCAGTGGGACCCTCGCGTCCCCTTCCATGTGAGAAACACTTGGCATCGGCAAGCATGCTGGTGCAACTCGCCACAACCTTCAACTAGCACTATGTGATGCGAACAGCAGCTTCATATAGTCTCAGAGAGGCATTGCACATAGTCGTGCGGATAGCTTTTGAGATTTCGTCGACAAGCCGCAAAAGGTGCCATTTAGCACCGATGAGTGAAACGCTCAGCGGCCATAAACGCATGCTGGGCCGGTCAGCTGGATGATGTGGCCGCAAAGCGGTCAATCCGCTTTTGGTGCCGGTTGTACGATGACTGCAGCACCTATGCGAGGCGTTGAGGGCATCGTTTCAAAACCCCGGTGGCCATAGAGACTAGTTCAGCTAGTTTCCTGATTCAGTGCCACTGCTGGCTGACTCGGCATCATCGCATCATGCCCCAGTGACAGATTAGTGAAATAAAGCACGAGCAACGTGATTGAACATCTACCTACTTGTTGCATGTTCAGGCTTGAACCGGTGTCCATTGGTCCCAGAGATAGTGTCGGTGAAGAGGGCCTGACCGACTTGGATGTAGCATGATTTGGGCTGCTACGGGTCGTACCTTGGCAGCTCCAGCTCAACTTGTGCTGGAGGAAGTCGTCCACCTGCAAAACCCGCGAGGAACCAGAACAAGGGCAAGAGGAACACCGAAGACCAAAAGTCCCGCCTGCCATTGCCCTTTCCGCGGCTCTACTTCTGGCATGCCTTCCTGCGACCTTCGTAAAAAAAAATCCCTTCAGCAAGGCTCGCTTCGGCGAAGCAGACCGAGGTTGCGACAGCCAGGGCGGCGATTGCACAGTGGGCAAGGGCTCCCTATCAAGGGAAGCCTCAGAGACAGAAAGAGCAGCTCAATTGCAGCCCTGGCACAGCTAGGACACCATGACCAAGTGCATAGCACGAGTCTTCTGTGAGGCCAGCGATGGCACCTGCGTTGACACAACAAAGCAACTCACGGGTCTGCTACAGCTAACTGCCGATTGGATGTTTTGCCCCGGTGCCAGCCTGCGAGAATTGTTCGACCATATCCCGGTCTCCCGCCACTGCTTGCTTAGCCTTGCAAGAACCAAAACGATAAACAATGGGTGGATGCCGATGAAAACGGCACTCATCCTATCCGGCCAGTTCCGACTGCGTTCATCTCAAGCCAAGCATAGCTGCAGCTACCAGGTGAGTGCTGTGAACCAGGCACGGACCTGCTCTTGAAGTCCTCCTCTTGGAAAAGGTTGCTACTGAGTCACTGAGGGCCGGGCACGTGCCAAGGTCCGCAGTGACGGCCCCTGGGACAAAGCCGCTTTGCAGTCAAGAAGTTGCTTTAGTCCCTCATGGCCAACCTGAGCTGGCTGGTGGTTGAAGAGGAGCTTTGGCGGATCGAAAGCCTGCAAAGCACCAGATTCGAACGGGATCTTGGCCTGGGACCCAGCCCCAGCCTCCAAACCCTTCACCAAGTAGGTGCCACCTGGCTGCACCTTCATCAACCAGCGGGACGAGGGCTTCGCAAGCAAACTTCGAGGTTTTAATCGGCCGGCAGCACTTCATCCAGTGACATCACCGGATTCAGCATGACGTCGTACAGCGCTCGCGCTGGAGCAACAACCTCGAGCAGTTACGTCGTTACGTGCTGTCGTTGAGCGATAACGTTGAAGCATCAGGAGGCCCTGACAGGCTTCGTGGCCTTGCAGCAAGAAGCAAGGGAATCCCACCAGACAGTGTTCCACAGCATTGACAAGCCCAATGAACTTGCCACGAATGGTGGCCATGATGGCACAGATTGGCACAGTCTTCATTGCTGTGCCTCGCCGGCCAGCTGTAGAAGCTCCTTCCGTGTAGCACCCGGGCCCCAAAAAGCAGCTCTCGGCCCCTCCCCGCGCCCTCTTTCGCTCCTTAAGGCCGCCTGCAGGGGGCCAGCGCTTCACGAAAAGGGTCTGGCCGGGGGGGGGGGGTGGCACCGCATGGTCTTAGCTCCAAGTCCGACATTTGCCGCCTCTCCCGTGTGCAAACGGTCAGCATTCCGGAAGAGGAGGAGTGCCATGGTTGACGGCATCTGACAGGCGAAGTGCTTTTTCGCAGAGTCCAAGATGAGAATGGGCTCAACATGCACAGAATTTCTGGCTGAGACAGAAATAGACAAAGCTTGGTGCGGTTTCACTGAAATCCTGCAGTGCCCTCTTCAAACTTGCTTGAGATGATTGTTATGACGCTTGCCTTGCCTGCGGCATCCGGCCTTCCAGGGTAAGGCAACTCGATGTTTCCAAAACGGAAGCCCTGAATGCGTAGGAGCACCACTGGGGCCAGAGTCCTTTCTCTTCATCAGTTCGCCTGAGCACAATGCAGCTCTCTCTGCTAGCCACTAGCTAGCCGCTAGCCACAAGAAGAGCAAGGGCAGGCTTGGACAGTTTGGGCGCTGCTGGCGACAGACCTTTTTGAGCAGCCTAGGAGCGGATGCGACGCCATCTCGAATGGCTCGACAACTCTTGCGGGCACACCGCATGAATGTGGAATAGCAGTCAAGCTTTGGGCACACAGCCCCGACCAAGCAATCCCTTCCTATAGTTACGACAGGGAGCTCGAAAATACTCCGAGTCTGTGATCAAAGCTCTGATCTGCCTTAAACCAAGACTTCACTTGTCAGGTGTTTTGCAAACATGGTATTCCACATCTCATTTTGAAGACCTGCGGCCTCCTTAAAGCTACAGCTGCTCCCTTCAACAGCCATCAGCCGCTGCTTCGATGAAACAGCCGTCGTGTTCCTGCCGAAGCTAGTGTCAAAATACACACATGCACTTTATGATATGCTCCCGTGACGCCTACATTGTCCAGGCCTTGTTTGCGAACCCAGCTCACTGCCTCCGAAAACGAGAGGTGCGGTGGTGAAGGCGTCGAGAACATGATCGCCGCAACTTTCTTAGCTGCCGGTGCAGTATATACGTTAAGGAACATCAGCGCGAACAAAATCAGTTGGTGCAACATCGAAGCCGAGAAAGGTACAGCCAAGACATGGCAAGACACAACATCGTCTTCCCGTACTGGATCGAAAGATATATTCCCTTGGAGGAAGTATACCTGTGCGGTGACGCGATTTGCGGACTCCTCGATTTTCCAATAGCGCAGGTGATGTGCGGACGTAGATGCTGCTGGAATGTCCGCGGCAAATTTGTTTTCCATGCGGTCAATGACTGGATCGTCGAAAGGAGGTTTCTTCGTCTCTCTTGGCCGGATGTGCCAGAGAGTGGAATCGCTTCTCCAGAACTCGCTCGAGCCGCTCCCACTGCTTCTTCCGGGCTGTGACGACCGCGGGTCTGTGTGACTTCGGATTTCCGCATACTCGCTGCGGTTGTGCTTCTTTAAGCAGCATGGGCAACTGCCAGAAGAGGACGTGCAGCTTCTACAAAGTTTGTGCCCGCATGCGAGAGCACAGGTTCGTCTCTCCTTTCCACAGCCGGGGCATGTGAGAATGGGAATCCTCAGTTGTCACGTTATCAATGTTGTCGTACTCTGATACAGCCGTCCAATTGTACCTCACAACTAAGGCCTGCGCGTCTGCTTGTTCGCGATTGTGCTGATGCAAGCAAACTGCTCGAGTGTGCGGTAGTCCCGCAAGCACTTTGCCACATTGGCAATGGCTGTATTCGGGATTGTGGGGTGGGTCGTCTTGACAACGGTCGCGTTGAAGGACGAGCGGGTCGCCGCGCGAATGAGCTGGCCTGAACAAGCTATCGATGGCTTGTGGCCTCGAACAAGATGTGTCAACACAATGGACCATGCGGCTTTGTCACGTGTCTCATTGAACTCGAAGCGCGCGATTCCGTCCTGGATTTCAGCTATGAGTCGTCGTCAAGATGCTTCAACCAATTCTGGAAACTCAAGGTTGCGGGGTGCTGGTGTCAACTGCATGGTGGAAGCAATCTCGGCTGAGACTTGCTGCCAAGATCAAACATCGACCAAGCCCTGCGCAAGACAAGGTCCTTGTTGCTTCCGGCAACTACATGCTCGATCCACTCCGGATGAGGCATGAGTTTCTTCACTTGATCCATCGACGCCCATCCATCTTCTGTTTTCCCTATGCGCGAATCTGGATACCGGAGAAGCCTTGCCAGTCTCCTCGTTTGCAAGAAGCTCTAAGAGCAACGACATGGCACAATGTGTCATAAAGTCGTGCTACGCGAAAAATGCGAAAATGCCACCGCAGATGGCGAAAGTTTTCTCCCCCCCGCCTGGACAGTCTGTCCAAGTCTGGCGGCTCTGGAAAGGTTAGTGGAACCACTGCGTCCGAGTGAAGCCAACCATCGCAGTCATTGTGGCTGCCATACAGCCAGCCCCTCTCGTCTTCGTTATCACGTCCCACATAGCTCACCTGACTTTGTGCGGCCGGGTGCAAAAATTCGGTGTGGCACTGGGTGATCTTGCAGGCCAGGTGCCGTTGCAAGCTCGTCGACCTGTCACCGGGTCGTCTGTGCACGAAGCACACCAAAGTTTATTGCAGCTCAGTCGTTGTCAAGCCTCCAAGCAGAGATAACCACAGCAACTTTTGTCGCCAAGGACCTAGGTCCCCACAACGCGTAGACATGTCAGGACATGCATGCAAGTGAAGCCGTTGACAACTCAAGGTCCAAGCCCAATTTGGTCTGCAGTGTGCTGGGAGCCAGTCCTTGGCGTTCTACGGAGCTTTCCGCACAGTGCTAGTACCATCTTTCACTGGACAGCACCCGGTGTGATGCTGAGGCCACGACATGCGTCCGGAGGATTGCCTGCAGCATGGAATGCAGCTCACATTCTTTGTTGCAGGTGATGTGCGATCCATCATGCTCTCACCGGCCTTTACCACGTGCCCTTTTTGGACTGAGGCCATTGCAGAGGGAACAAATCGGCGGCTGCTGGACACTGTTGAGTAAATGTTGCATGACAAGGAACATGCAGGTAGTTGTTCATGTGCCCCATTGCCTGACCTCGCAAAACTAGTGCTTTAGCTGACCAAATGGGAGGGTATCCTGCCATACAGCATCCCCTCAACTCTAACATTGTAACACAATTCTCACATTATTATCTAGACCACAACCCACCTGAAGATTGCATTGAGCCATAAACAGAAATAGCAAGGATTGCATTCGTGAGCCAAGTTTCGAAAGCAAGAGCCATCCACGCAAGCGACACAAAGGTGGGTGTTTGAGACAGCATGAGCTACAGCAAGGTCTGCGAGGAGCAGCAGCAGTAGAAGCAGCGACAGCGGCAGCAGCAGCAGCAGCAGTAGCAGCAGCAGCAGGAGGAGCGGCAGCAGCATCAGTAGCAGTAGCAGTAGCAGTAGCAGCAGCAGCAGCAGCAGCAGCAGCAGTAGTAGTAGCCGTTTTTTGCTATTAATACTAGTAGCATCATTCCGCACGCAGTGGGGAGTCCTCTCCACCTAGCGAGAAGCACAGGCTTTTGCCGGCGTTCTCAAAGAACGCAGTAATACTACTAGCAATAGTGCATAGTAGCACTAGCAGTAGCAGTAGCAGCAGTAGTAGTAGTAGTAGTAGTAATAGCAGCAGTAGCAGTAGCAGTAGCAGTAGCAGTAGCAGTAGCAGTAGTAGTAGTGTAGTAGTAGTAGTCGTCGTCGTGGTCGTCGTCGTAGCTGGGACAAGGAACAATCATGGGATGGCTGCCGCCAAAGCGATCAGGACTGGGGCCGTTACCACGGC